CACATCACTGATTTCTTAGTCTGTCAAGGAAAAATAATGCTTTTTGCTACCTCCTGCTCTTTTATAGCTAGACCTTCATCTAACCTTGATCAGGGTCATGGCATAGGATGAATTGATAAAACATACTTCATTTAGGATTAAATAACAATGAGACTGACAGTGGCTAGAGGAGCTTGTAATACTAATGGAGAGTTTATCATCACACTTCTGGTGGAAAAACAATATGACTTGGTTCAGTTGCTTCCTATGTGCCAGTCACACAAGACAAACGTTCCCAGCAGGCCAATCTAATGTGCTCTCCCAACATTTTAAAGAACATCAAAGGTGTTAAGTATGTGAAACAGAGAAGTATTCTTAGCCTACTCTCTCTGGAATATGTGTTACTCTGATTTCTGAGCTCCCTTTCATTGTTGTTCTTTTGTTAATCTGTGCAAGTTCTCCTACAAGCCAGTGTACTCTGTTACATTTGCTGTGGTACAGAAAACTTCAGTTTCCCTTCTAGCACTGTAGCTCCAAACTGAGTATCTACTGTATGTGACATAAACAGTTAGTCAGAGATACATTTCACATGTATTTCAGGAGGTCAGTAAGACACTTGATCCCATTTCTAGTGTTGGAAAGAAAAGTCTAAGATCTCTCTGACACTTCACGTCAGCACATTGTCCCTCAAGCAGTGTTCGTTACCCAATGTGCAAAAGCCAATCTCATACATAGAGCCAAGATATCAGCTTATTCCATAGCTGTGCAAAGATGGGTGCAAGGTAGTAATTCCACAAAACTAGCAGACCACAAAAAAGAACTTCAAGGTATTTATAAATTTCAATCTACACAATTGTATATTTACTATAATGACATGGTTAGTTGCTTATCACTCCTACTCCTCATTGGTTAGTAACATGCCTTGTCTTGATTTAAGGTTATAGTGAGTTTTAATTTTTCTGTGCAAGCTCACAGGGTGAGGGTCTTAATTTGGGCAGGGGTCTTAGAAGTGGTGGTTGTGATTTTTACTATTTTAAGGAAGATAGTTCCTCCAAAGGACACTCTAATCTCTAATTAAACTAATTCACAGTAAACATTTTTTAATAAGCCTCCATGTTCCAGGATGTTTCTCTTCTTCAGGGGCAGTAGCTCCAGATTACAAGTTCCTTACTAATTATTGTTGATGGTTTAAAGAACAAAATATGTTCTATTTGTCCTTGTATTTGATGAGAAACATTTGTGTGGACTGCAAGCAGACTTTGCTGCAAATGGAAAGAAATACCTTGAACACAAAAAATGCAAGTAGCTATGTGGAACTCTGTACTTTTGGTGCCTATCTATTTTCTTCTCAAAATGCGTAGGTCAGTCTAAATCTGCACTCTAGAGACAAACTCAGGTATAGACCCAATGTAGTTTTCTCTACCAGCAGCACAGGTTTCTGATTACTGTTCATATCACTATGTATCATATCAGATTAAAATCAAAAGCAAAAACGAAAACAAAAGCCAACCTAAAAACTGTGGCAAAAAAAAAAATTAGTAAGTCAGAATAAACTGTTTATTGATGAATCTCCATGAATCACCATGTTATGGAGTTACCTGTCTGTGATCTCTCTCTCCTGACTTGTGTCCATACTTTGCCTGGCAGAGGACTAGTTAGCACAAGCCAAAACAAAGCTAGAAGCATGCTAGTAGTTTAAAACTACTGGTGATGACCTGTCCATGCATTTGTTTGTGTTCTGGTCTTACTCAGTTTACATGCATAAATGGAGCCTACAAATTTTGCTTTCCTTGCCTTATGAGGATCTCTTCCAAAACGACAGTAACAGTTCGGACTTGGCACTCAGGTCATTTTATAGATCAGGAAGAGAGAGGAATATATCCTTTAGACCAAACAGCAGGAATGTACTAATGATAATTCGGTTCTGCATGTAGTTGGTAAAACCAGATATAAAATGTTACCTTTTGCTATGTCACCTTTAAAACTTGTTTTCAGAAAATCTAACCTGCTAACTTCTTTCTAGGAAAGATCTTGAACCTGTATAAGAAATTCAAGTCTACCAACAGTAGGTTTTCTTCCATTAGTTTTTCACAGACCATGAAGAAATAGTTCATAAATCTTATCCAAAAAAGAGTGTATGCCATTGCCTCCAGCAGCTAGATTTAATCATGGATGGTGTCAGCATCCATGGAATCTTATATCTGGGTACCTCCAGAATTTTGCAATCCAAATATGATTTAGATGCCTAAAAGGGTGAATGTTGCTGCAGAGCTGATTTCCTTAATATTCTTCTAAGATTTGGGGACATGACTTCTACCATCTTCTCAAACACTCATTGGATTTCTTAAAAATCCAAACATATCACTACAAGTAATTACCTCACTATTCTTACGCTTAGAAAAACAGATTAATGGTTGAAGAATGTGAAATGAAGAAAGTATATTTTCTATCTTATTTTTCATACTTTCATGCTTTGATTCTGTTCTAAACCTTCAATCTTTCTTTTGTTTTACGTTATTTCCTTCACTTGCTCATAAATTGTTCTGCAAGTGAAAGACTAGGATACTACCTTTGTATTTCAGTCAACATGTGACATCCAGTATTTTTATTTGTTGGGTAGTCTTGTGTTCACTGTAAGAACACACACATACTCAACCTTCCAGATTTCGTTTGGTTCCGGTTCTCAGTGTATTATTTATACAACTTTATAGTAGGTTATAAACCTGTGAAAGCCTGATTCTTATTTTTTACTATGTGTTTTGAACAACACCAACATCCTGAGAACTTTTTATGATCCAGTTTTGTACCTATTATTTCAACAAGTTTGTTTCTATTAGCCATAAGTAATAATTTCCTCCATCTTCTCACTGGCTGCAACAGTGCCTTATTTTATTTTCCAAGACTTCTTTTGTTTTGCACATATGTTTTTGGTAGCACACATGTAACTGTATGTTACAGTTTAGACTAAATTTTCAAATGTGGGAAACAAAAAGAAGGGACCTGTGTTGGAGGTTGACATCACTTGCAAATTCTAGACAACTGTGTTTTGAAAATAGGTCCTTTCAAAGAATTTCCACTTGCATGTCCTTGCTGTAACAAAAGGCTGTCTCTTTGTTTCATTATGTGATGTATGTTATTTGTGAGCATCCAGTCTAAAACCCTTGACCTAAAATTTTCTCAGATTTTAAGAGATGAAAAATGTCACTTGTTAGTTGGATAACTAAAACTAATCATTTTCTTCAGATAAATAAGTAATAATTTTTTGACTCCTGAGTTGTGAAAGTTGAAGTGTTACATGACAATTTCTTCAAGATAGTTTTAACTGGCATTTATGGTAAGAATTGGAGAATGACACATAGCAGCATACTAACTCTAAGAGTCAGGGGAATACACCATAATGGTATATATTCATCTTGATTTTATGCACTGTACATTACATTAAAATTTTAAGGGATATATTATAAACTGTGGCACTTACTTTAGAATCAGCACACCTGTTAATCAATTTCATAAAACTCAGTTCTCCACTGTAAATGTCTATGAACAGTTTTCTTTTAACAAGCAGTCTTAGAATTGCTTATGTCCTTATCCATTATTTAGATTGCAATTTCAATACATGGCAATGAAACTGTTCTCTGGCAATCTGTTTTATTAAGAGAGTGTGTTTTCAGTGTTGGACTTTTCAGCAGATTGATCTAAATCCTATCGAGCTCATTAGGAATACTTCCTTTATTCTTACTCGTTGTGAAACTGCAACATGAATTTACTATTGTAAGAGGAAATACATGTATAACATATTTGTAATAAACTGTAACATAAGATTCATTTTAATGATTCTCATGAATTTACCATAAAATTCCTAGCTTTACCACAGATATCTTTTGCAATCTTGAACAAATCATTCAAACTGTTTACTTTATTCCCTTACCTGTAAAATGGGGAAAATGCTTCCTTTGTCCCAAGTTTATAACATCGTGTTTATTAATGACTCACATTCTTTAAGCCCATTTTGCATTTTTACAGGACCTAGAGTAATGGAGCTTCACTGATGATAGTGACTAACACACACTGAAATAAAGAGAAACAAGTCTGTTCTCTAGCACAGATGACATTTCAATATAGTATCCCCTTTTCTTACATGCCTATCATATAACTGAAAATGTTGAGCCCTTCCAAATATTTATACTCATAGATTTCTGTGGGTTAGCTCTGCTAAGATCTTTACAAGTCCTTCCACAGACGATGTATCTCCTTCATTTAATTTTCCAGAAATGTACATTCTATGGTGATGAACTCATAACCAAGATTAAATGACTTGAGCTTGATTGAATTAAGTCACAGTTCTACCTTCTCTAGGAATTCCAGACCTCCCAGGATTTCTGCATACTCAGTTTTCATTAATTCTAATATATCTGTTCCTGTTAATGCAGTTTTGCTGACCACTTCCTAAAGAACTTGATCACTCACCTACTTCTTTATTTTCTGTCACAATATTTTTCATGGAACTGTGCTTAATAACATAAAGTAAATCTTCAGTGCCTTTCCCTTTTTCTACTGACCTACAAATGGATTAGGTGAGCATGTAGGATGTATATTTTGATTGATCTTTCCTCTCATAGATCTTGCAGTATAATGTTTGTGATATAAACATGGAGGTGAATATCTGCTGATGGGCAATTCTCTGTTAGGGTGAATTTAACAATGTGTTTTGGCTGATCTAACAGCTCGCTCCCATGCTAGTGCCTGGCTACTGCCCTCTCCCTTACTCTTAGGCACAGACTTCTACTTCTTCCCTTGCACCATCCCTGATGCTTGTCAGGTTCCTGGAGGAGCTGAATCTGCTCACTAAGCCAGCAGAAAACCAACACATGGCAGTTTAAAAGTAGCCATTTTGGTGTATCTATTTAGTGAGAGATCAGCCAAATTATTTCACTAAAGATTGGTGAGCCAGTAGATTATTTCTGTAATGCAATGAATACCTTTAGAAAATCCTGACATAGATTTTCTTCATTATTTTTCAGGCAACAGTAAGAGGAACATCCCAGTCAACAGTATGTAGTTGTGGCCAGAACACTAAACCTGTTACATTCAGTTTATTTGAAGTCTCACCTTTAAGGCTGACCACCAATGGTATAAGAGTAATTCTTTCAGTTCAAATGATTGCGCACTATGAAGCTGAAATACATGAATGTGAGTAAAATATGTTTTTTACTTTCTCTCAGTGTCCTGTGGGTAAATAGATGTACATTTCCCAATGTAATAACAGTGCTTTTTGGAAGAAGTATGAGTTCAAATCAAAAGCAAATTATTTCCCTCACTCTAGCTAGTCTTGAACTGGATTTTGAAAATTTCAGATATTTATTGTTTACCATAAATATAACCAGTTTCCAATTCAACAACAATTAGCAATGTGTTTAAAGTTTCTGTTGTTTATAAATGTCAGGGGTTTAGTGATTTTTAGTCATCTGTTTATGATATTTTCCTAGAGAAAAAAGATTTAGGCAACAGCTTAAATGCTTTGTAGAATAGGGCCTATCCACCACAACCAAGTAAAACTAATGCACTGACTGTTTCTCTTAAAGAAAACCTAGCTAAGCACTGAAATGGAGTTTCAGTCAGATTTCAAAAATATTCACCCTTCTAACATTCGTATGTAAAATACTTTCTCAGTGACCTGACAATTATTGCCGAAAGTTAATTTTGAAGTGTTTTATGAATCAGAGAGAAGGAAAAAAGAAATTCTGGTAAGTTTGCTTTTATTTTAAACCTTAAAAGTAGTACTGATTGTGAAGAAAATTCTCTGGTAATTTTAATTTTTATTTTCATAAAAATCACTTGACATTCTGTAATTTTAAACTGTGTTTCTGAGGGATATTAACGATTCATCTCAACAAACAAATTGTATGAATACTGATAGGTAACCTAATAAAGTGTTAAAAATATCATGTTTTTTCTAATTCTTTTGAAACAGAAATAAAGATAATTATAGTATAAAATGAAAAGAACAGAACTGTGTATCTTTGGGAAGGTTTCTCACTGATTAGCTGGAAAGAGCTCATTTATTGTGTTTTGTTTCTTTACTTGAGGAAGCCTGACCTAAATAAGAGGTTATTATATTGGTTAAGATTTTTCTGTGTGTACAGAGCTCCTAAGCTTTTTTAAAATAATTTTTATTTCATCTGTGTATGAAATTACAAATGTACCAAAATGTATCTTTGCTGTCTTTACAGTTAAGGAAATAAACGTTGTGGAGGAGTTGTAATGCTTTCTATTTCCATCAGAGGGTACTATAAACATGCCTAAAACTTACTTTTTTGGCTTCACCTGCAAAGAAATGGATGTTTCTTTCAGTCTGGAATTTCCCGTTAATTTTCAATGTTTATAAATTCTGTGTACCATCAGATATATTTGCCTTGCTGAAAACATGAGTGGTTTATATAGCCTCATTAGAAACATTTTAAAACAAGTTTAACAAACATTCTCTTTTCCTTCTAAATATTCACTGGATATTCCCTTTTAAAAAGGAGACTTGTTCCAAAACTTCTGTGTGTAAAATGCCAACATAGACAGAGGTAAAAAATGTTCCGTATGTACTGAACAATTTACACATCTTAGCAGTCAAAATATACTTTATTTCTCTGTAGATACAGAAAGCAATTCTGTCAGCAGAGACAGACCTTGGGAACCTGAAGTGGTATACTCAATATATCTTGTACAAATATGTTTTATAGAAAAGCAGCAGTCACCTGCCAGCGACTGGCTGCCCATGGGACAGATGCTCTTTGATACATGAGCTTCTGGCCTGCGGATGTTCCTCCACGGAGCAGGCACTCTGGTGTGCTTCAAAGAGTTGTTCAGGTTCAACTACCTGGGTTACTCTTCTTTGTACTTATTTTTACAATGTCTTTTTATTCATGTGACCACTTGAGGTCAGGTGATTCTCCATGTGGACAGTGGTTGTTTTTACACCAAAAGCATTATTCCTGTGCAAGAAGGACATGTTTAATATTTATTTTGTCCCTTTAATGGCAAACTTTGTTCTGTTTATAGTTTGTCACCCAGGCACAAAGGAGTAAAGATGCCACGTACCTCTGATGGTCACAAATAAGAAGTAACAAGAAGTGAGAAATTCATGAACAGTGCATTAGGTGAAATGTCTTCACAGGGCCTGGCAGACAGGGCCTGTCCCAGCCCCAGCCAGGAGCAGGGCAGCCGGTGGGCAGCGGGTCAGCCCCAGGCAACAGGCATCTCCTTGGGGACAGGGCCAGCCCAACTGGCGCTGGGACATCGTCCCAGCAGTGAGCTCAGCTCGACAGGGCCCGTGGCCAGGCAGGGCAGGGCAGTGGGGAGCTGGAGACCAGCAGCAGGGACTGACAGCCCCAGTGGGCCTGAAACGGGTGGGGTGGGGGAGACCCCGAGCTGGATGGGCAGGTATAAGGAGGCCCATGGCTGCTCTCAGCCCTGACAAACAACCACAAATAAATTCATAGATTCTGATACAGAAACGATTAAGCCAAAATAAAATAGTTGAGGAAGTGTATTCGAGATGTTTGCTGGAGGTACATCTCAGAACTTCTCTCATTTTTAACCTTCATCCTCTTCTCCTTGGGCAGCAGTGTCCACTCTGGCTGAGTTGTGTTGGCAGCTTGCAAACAGGCTGGTGCTCAGCAGTGAAATAAATACAATTTTAGGGTCCAAGATTAACACACATAACTGCATAAGTATTTTCATGGCAAGAGTTCAGTTTATTCAAAGTTGTTAATATGAAAATGTTTACTTTTCATCAGAAGAACATGGGTGAGATTAAGTGTAGTACTCTGTCCCACACTAGAATAATTCTGTGGCGAATCAGGTACATTGTTCCACAGTGTTCCACATTGTTCCACAATGAACATAAAATGAATATAAACTCTGGGTTTATGTGGTCTATCTACTTTAACTGAAACAATCTTCTGCCCACTCGACTGAGATAAAATCTGCACCTCTATTCTGCATCAAAAATCCCTGGGATTAAAGACCATTGGCTGTATGTCAAACCCTCAGATTGTAACATATATATTCTTACAATATATGAATCATACCAGAGTGATTTTGAAACATCACAACATCACATAATGGCTGAGGTTGGCAGGGACCCCAGGCAATTCTCTAGTACAATGCTCCAGCTCCAGGGAAAGTCATCTAGAGTGGGTTGCGCAAGACCTTGTCTGGATGGGTTTTGAGTATCTCCAAGGTTGGAGACTCTAGAACCACTCTGAGCATCCAGCTCCAGATCCCAATTACTCTTACAGTAAAAAAGTTTTTTCTTGTGTTTAAGTGTAATTTTCTATATTTCAGGAAATATATGTAGAGGTAAAAATCTTAATATGTAGCTAACCAAAATTAGACTAGTTTACTAACTGGAAAAATAACATTACCCCTTTCTATTTGCATATTATTCATATATGCTTCTATCATAACTTTGTGAAGAAACATTAAAACCAGTGTTTTAATTGATATGCATAATAAATTTGCATTAAAAAAAAAAGAATGAGTCATGCAGTGGTAATTGAAAGTCGATAGAATGATTATAAAGAAGAATTTTAAATTATCTATTGCTTAGTAATATTTTATTTCTTGATTTCTTAGGTCAGATTTCTAAGATGACATACAGACAGGATGAAAAGGTGCTTTAAGTTCAAACTGTTCTGTATTGTACTTTAGCCCTTTCTAATATGTTTTCCCTTCCTGGATTTGACCAAAATCATTCAAACAATGTGGAAAAGGGATTGCTGCTGACTCATTGGCTGCTTACATATTTTATAAATTATTAAATTGTTAAAATATTCATTTAGATCTGGAAGGTAACATCTTCCAATAGCTAGGACATCTTTATTCATAAAATAATGATTATGACTGTATCATAAGTTAAAAAAACTTGAAAGGTGGGCAACATGTATAAAACAATTTCACTTTCAATATATAGTTTATCTGTATGTATATAACTATACATATAAAAATAGTTACATGTGTGTATATATATCTAATTTTGTAAATGTAAATATATCTAATGTTATGCAGGTTCTTTTAAATGTAGGTAAAACCATATACTTTAGTGAAGTCATTCTTGGGAATGACTTACTAAATGGAAGCAAAACCAGAATCTGGTTCATTTGATAAAAAATCCCAAGAACTGACTATTTTTGCTTGGTTTAGATTTTTAAACGGTAGAGATAAAGGAAGAAGTTGTATGAAAACCTATGGAATCTCAATATGTGAGAATTAGAGGCACTGGCACTGAGTGTCTTTTTAACCTTCGTGTCTGAGTGTACTGAACCTAGTATAGTATAGAATTCTCTACACTATATTCTGATTCCTCTGAGGGAAATAACAAAACTCCCATTATACTCAGAGGTACAGGATTAGTCCCTCTATTTTTTTAACTGGGGCAGAGGCTTTTTCCTTACTATTATTGTATCTTCATATAAATATAGCAGCATTATTGAAAGCCTGAAGCTTCACGCCATTGCTTTGCTCATCTTCTTAAATTCAGTACCACATGGCAGATTTCTATGGAGCCTTATCTCTCAAGCCAAAAAGAAAAGCATGATCACAATAGTCAGCTTGGCTTTTCTTCTCATCTCTATATGCACTTCAGTGCAGGAGAAGTTCAGACACAACAGAGCTTCAAATGGTTTATTTCAAAGGCTTTAAGAAAAGAAAGGGAAACAAATATTGAGCTATTACAAAGAAGTTTTCAGCCAGTGCATGTTTATTAAGCTTACTTTATTCTATCCAGCATATTCAAAGACATCTGATTAAACTGTCCCAAATAAAAAGGACAAAGCTTTCTTCAATCTGTGCAGTACAGATAAATAATTTTGTGTGAGATTTTTATCATCTCTCAGGCTCTGTACTGGAGACATTTCAAACAGGCTATGCACATTGCCAAAACCAGTCCTGTTCAGGATATGTTAAAATATTGTATCTGGCTAATTGGAGATAGAAAAGATTGTTTCTAATCATTTCATGACATACTTTGCAATTCCTATATATACTCAGTTGTATTTCTTGCTTCACGTGTATTTTCAGTGAAATGACTGGAACAGGTCACAAGAATAAGGGTGGACCAATATAACAGCAGAAATCGCTGTATTACATATCACACAATGACCTTGCTGTGACCCTTGTTTGGGTATCCTACTTTAACC